CCGTCCAGTTCCCATGTCAGAGGATGAAGAGAGTTCATCCAGACAGTCACAGTCACAGAAACAGGACTACACTGGAAAACGGGCAGATCTCCAACATCTATAAACAAAGGTGTTGATGGCAGCAGCACAGCTGATATTTCTCTCCAGGATGGCGTCACAGAAGAGGCAAAGCTACTATGAGAAAAAGCAGAGAGAGCATAACGTTAGAGATTAAACTCACAGATTCTGCAAAGTGGGAGAATAGAGATAGGATGAAGCAGAATGATGAAATGCGGGTCCCTATGTCCTCCAGCAGTCTAAGCCTATAGCAGCATAAATATAGAGATAGCTAAGGATATCCTGAGCCACTCTAACTATAAGCTTTATCAAAAAGGATAGTTTTAAGCCTAGCCTTAAAAGTAGACAGGGTGTCTGCCTCACGGACTAAAACTGGTGGTTGGTTCCACAGGAGAGGAGCCTGATAACTAAAAGATCTGCCTTCCATGGGCAGTTAGACAAAACTGAAAGCATAGTTTCATTGTTTTTCTAATAGGAAAGTTGATCAACTTTAACAAGATGCAACATAATTGAAACCTTCATTTGTTTATTTTTTAATCTACTTTCTTGTATGGACAAACTATAGTGCATTATAAAGAAAAACAACTTAAATGAATTAAATAAAAGGAAAAACAAAAAGTAGCATAAAAGCAATCCATAAGTATTACATTTCACAGGCCTTCACCAAGCACTCTGGAGAAGTAAGAATAAATAAATCCCTTGTCTCATGACCAACTGAAACAAAGGGTAAATCCTGCTACTTGATTACATAAATGAGGCACACCCATTTCTATTTAATTATAAGTTTTTTTCATATTTTTAAAGACTTTTTTTGGGTCAAAATTTTAAATTTTTCTTCGATGGCTTCTCTTCTCTGCTCCTTTCGTCTCTTCGTCAGGGTTGCCAACTCCCCAGCAAGGACCTATAAGGCGCCAGATGACGTCATCACCCAATTTGCAAATTTCATATCATCGAGCTTTAGGAGATTCAGAATTGACACTGCTCTTTGCGCCATTGTTTTTCAAATGGTCTGTTTGTTTGGTTCTTTCTGCACATGCGCAGCAAATGGACTGATCGCATGTGGTGGACACTGAAGGGGGGCTCCCTGGAGATACACCTAGTATTATAAGCGTTCCGATGGCATTTTAGCAAAAGGATTTTTATCAAAAACATAATTAATGTGCACAAATTAGTAAAAGCTTTATTACCATACATGTAAAATGAGTTTATGGGCCCCCCCAGGAACTTGGGGCCCTAGACAACTGCCTAGTCTTGCTTAATGGTAAATCCACCCCTGTTCAGCACTAACAGAAATGTCCAGAACAGAACTAGAGAGTTACAACAATGGGATACATCTGATAAGTCATAACTTGATGATAGGAGAAAGAGCTGCTGAAGGTCAAAAGGACATAATCAGTTATAATGAAGAAGAAAAAATGAATGTAAGGGGAAGTCCAACAATCTTTTTTAGGATCTATAGCAGTTGGATGTTGGGATGAAAAGCTTTCTCTTCTACTTTCCCAGATTTATCAAG